GCCATAGTGATCGTTTGATATATGGACCTGCAGCGGAGTTTAGGCCCAGACACGGCTAGTGACGTCAGACTTAACGACCGGATAGGTTAATTCAGGGTTTTTCAATCCAGCTAAAAGCATGTTCTCAGGAAACGGGTGGCATTTATCCATGCTGACCAATCATCAGCATGGATAAGCATCATAAGACACTGTAACCATTGTTGAAAGTTTGTATTTTAACCCAATCTAACCAAGTTGTTTGAAAGGTGAAAACAATATAAAAGAAATAAAGATCCCAGACACGTTTCCTGATGTGTTTGATGAGCTGGCCATTGATGAGCGTGTGGTGGTGAATGTTTTGGTGCTTAGACTGGGATTTAAAGTCAAATAATAAGGCTCTTCCCCACTCATCCTCACCAGGCACTGATGTTCCCAGCGCTACAAACACCACAGCCGTCACCGAGTCCTTCAGTCCTATCGTGCAGCCGAAGTGAGATGCCAGATCGCCCGTGACTGCGGTGAGGACGCCGATAAGCGATATGGAGACGATGAAGCAGGCCCAGCCGTTCCAGTACTCTGTGGGAGGGACGAAGGCGAACAGAACCTTCCAGAAGACAGTGAGGAAGTGCATGATGTAGTCGAAGCAGGAGGGCAGGCGCTCCTCGCCGCTCTCCTCCTCGTCATCATCTCCTTTGGGTAGGTGGGAGATTGAAACAGAGTAAAAGTAACAAGACGATTAAGAAAAAGGGATGAGACATAAAGAAGAAACAAGACAGAAACTTCAGCTTTAACTCTAGTAAGAGACAGAAGTTTGATATCTTTTCTTGTCACATTTATCTCCTAAGTCTCTTGATTAGCTTAGATTAGCATAAAGACTAAAAAACAGCTGATCTACTTAGCTTTGCTTAAAGCACCCATTTAGCAGCACTTTAAATCTCACTCAATTTGCATTTGACATTGTTTTAAATGTTTTAGTCATGATTTGATGAAAAGCAGCTGGTATGTAGCTGTAATTCACAAAAACTACCCAATATAAGCAAAATGGCTAACTGCCTGAAATACCTCCCCAACCTAACATTTTAATTAGAAGCTAATAACGCACATCATATTAACTGATAAGCTTTAGAGATTATAGAAATATATTTAAATTAAGAGTGAGGGGTTGTTTTAAGCAACACAAAATGCTGTATTAATTAAATGCTATAATGTACCAATAATTGTGCTATGTTATGCTAATCTAGCTTGCTAGTAGCTCATACTATGCCCATAGATGAGAGCTGTTTCATTCAATCCCATTGCCACCAGTTTACAGAGTCAAGCATGCAGCCTTGCGGTCTGCCTTTACAAATATTTGCAAAAGAAAAAAAAATTGAGTGTGGTACTGTAATCAAATGTCACCATAGCAACTAGCAAGTAATTTTGATACATTTCTTCTGTCCAAGATATTCCAAAGTGAATTCTAAGGGATATTATAGAATAGTATATAAAACCTGCTCTACTGATTAAATATGTGCAGAGTCCCCTCTCATCCAACATCAGTTTCTGCCCATGTATCCCCCAATTCGGATGAATGGGCAGAAATTCCTACAGACACACTCCAAAGAGTGGAAGTCATAACTGCAACTCCATATGTGCATGTGTAACGTGCAGGTAGAAATATTCTTTTTTCCATGTACTGCATTTCCTACAATGTCAAACTACTTTACATAACTAAAACTGAATAAGACTTCCGTCTGTGACAGTAAAGAAACAGACTATGAATGTAATAAACGAAGCTTATGTGTAAGTTCAATAGGGAAGATCTGTAGTCACTCATCTGTCTGCTTCCCAGGTGTTGATGGATAATCTAAGCTTTACATCACTTCCACTTTCCCACGCTGTCAAGCTGATTGTGACATCACATGTCTAGTCCAATCAGCTTCAGCCATCAGGGTCTAACCGCCAAATATCTCAAACTGAATTCTGTACATCAATAAATCACTTTCAATTCCTTCTGATGATCTCTCCTTATCAAAATACACTATAAGGGTCCAAATTAAATGCTGATGTCACGTTTTAAGAAAAGTTCTTTTTATCTTTAAAAATAAAGTTAAAAAAAAATGTCAGCCAAAACTCCTGTTCATAAATCAAAATGAAGCCCTTTGTGTGTGTGTGTGTGTGTGTGTGTGTGTGTGTGTGTTACCTGCACTGACTGTAACAGCATTGACAAACTGTTCCCTCCAGCTGCTGCTTCCCACCACCAAGGCCAAGTTTGTCTTCTTGATCAGCTTATCTACTGTACTCTACACACGCACGCACACACACAAATATACAAACGCACAAATATCAACCATGCCATTGCATACAAATCAGGCAGAACAGGAAAAACACAACCCTCAAGCTGTTAATTCATTCGCAGCTATACAGAAAGAGGAAACTGCTGACTTCAGGCCTTTCGGTTAAAACCCAAACCATACATTCATTTAAATCTTCAGGACCCGGTACTCCAGGTATAAGGTGTGCTAATTAATATGAAGCTGTGAAATCAGCCGTGCCACATTTTACTTATGCTCGCTGTAAAATTCAGGAAGAAAAAACCTTCAGGCATACTGCTTCAGTGTTTTAGTCTTAAACAGGCAAGAGAAGAAAGATGATAAAAGATGTTGTAAAAGAGCTGACAGCAGCTAAGGAGCACAGCACCAGCAGTCATTACTGTAACTTTACTGACAGGGCTTGGAGGGAATTCTGAATTTTTTACCATCTACTATGTTAAAAACATCATAAAATGGTAAATGTGCCGTATTTTAGCAGTTCCTGTAAGATAAATTACTAATTAATCTCGATGTGTGGCAACGCTTAATGATTTATAGATTGGGATGTGATTAACTCAGGCACTATTAGTACATTTCAGTATTGTACAGTAGATGATTAGAGAACAAGCTTTGCATGCATGAAAATGATGGATTACCTTTTCAGCATGCCTAAGAAGTGTATTTACTGCTCTCTGCACACAGACACACACAAACACACACGCACACAAAATGACAAAAAATGGAAAAGTGAGGTGATGAAATCTGCACGCAGACACACGAGTGGAGACATTTCGAGACCAAACTGAGATGAAAATGACGAATGAGAGGACAAATGAATATGACAACTAACAGAAAAAATAAGTAACGATATGATGACACAAGATGAAGAGACAGGCATCAGTTAGGGGTCCACGTGAGGTTAAGCCACAGAGAGCCCTGTTGTTGTGTCGTTATTGTGTTTCCCCGGCTGCACACTCATGACGATGGTGTTCGTCAGAGTTAGAAATGGATCAGATCTAGGAAGGCCCGCCTCCTAGTGTTAAAATATTTATGAAAGAACAAAGCCAGGCTTGTTTAATGCCTGTTTTGTACTGAAATATGATGAAAGCATATCGTCTGTGTAGGTTCTCAGTCATCCAGATGATGGAAGGAGATTGAAAAGAAAGCGACTTAACTTCTTTGAGTTTCTGAAAACATCGTGTTAATAAATTATTTACTTATTTTTTGCAGGTCCTTTTTAAAAATCAGCAGCATCCTACCAGAGAAGGCGTTGCTCTACATGCATCCACTGCAAAATGAAAGAATGACACTGGACATTTAGTTTTAGCGACCCAGCAGGATTTACATGGATCTGATCTGATCACTCACATACATCTGCTCTGGTAAAGGCATTGTTAGTGCAGTATCGGCACGCACAGACACACACTTACCTTGAACTCGTAGGACTCCTCTATGACCACTTCTAGCTGTGTGTGTTCGCCCAAACTGGGACAGCCCATCTTGGCCACCTCTTCCTCCTCCGCCCCCACCAAAGGCTTGTTTTCATTCGAGTCACCTAGGTGACAATAGAGATGAGTAGTGATGAGACTTTACAGTAATAACAGAAACAGCTACCTGCCCAGCCTGGCAGCAGAGAAGCACATGACAAGAACGGGTTGGTGCTCGTTGGTTAGCAGTGACTGTACTTTCAAAATAAGAGCAAACCTTTCAGTTTCAGTGGATGTGCCCTGCCAGGATACTGTTTACGTGTTTTCATTTTGAAGTGTCTTTATTACTGCTCCATTTACTTGCACACTGACATTTTTAAAGGCCAAAGCTAGTTTGCTAATATTTTCACATATAGGACTTATTATTATCTAAGATCCTACTTAAAAAAAGTCAATAGAAACCACTGAGAAACACACCACTCCCTTTACCAAGGCAATTTATATGTGCTGAATAACGTGTGCATTTCAAATGCCGCATCCCTGCACACTCCATTAAGAAGCTCTGCCTCATTTAAAGTTTGACATCCGTGCCTATACATAACTTTACCCAATTCACAGTGAAAATGAAAAGATATTAAAAATAAGGTCTGAAATGTTTCCTTGTGTTATTCTGAGTTTTTTTGTTTAACAGTGAGATATTTTTAAGGATTTAAGATGAAAATTGTGTCTAAAATGGCAGAGAAAATATCAAATACTAGTTACATATCATACAACACAACAGAACATGTAACATGATAATTGTACTGTTTTATTTATGCAGTGATGGAAATCAGTAATAGATTCTGTGTTGGTTTATTGACCAAAACAACAGCATCTATCAATATTTTCCACCTTTATTGGTCCATACCTTCTGTTTGGGAGGGATAGCCAATCAGAAGACTTAAAGACAAAGGAATTAAATAAAAGCTGTTTTAGCAACAAAGACCAATGTATGAGCTACAAAAGAATGATATATATAACAGTGAATCATCCAATGTCACTCTAGTGGAGTGCACGAAAAAAAATATGGAGCTGGAAATGAACATAATAGGTCCATTTTTAAATTTCAGCTCAGCACAATTACTCTAGTTTTGGGCAGTCACGTTACTCAAATAACTCCATTTAATCATCAAATCTTGCCCTGAGGTTTCTCCATATAGTCGTTTGCTTAATCTTTTAATTTGATAGATTTCAGACATCCTCTTAAGACGCGTCTCTTTTTTTCATTATTCTCAGCAGAGACCACAGCAGTGTGAACTATTACTGAGATCTCTGTCAGAAAACGTATGCTATGGGTTGTGAAAGAATATTTATGTATATGCTAAATCTTTAAACATGGGAAACGCGAGCTTTATCCGCAAAAACTTTACGTTTTCTCCCACCTCTTTATTGCGTGCTTCCGTGTATGCTGCAGCATCTCTCCCAAATGTCTCCTTGTTCGCTCACGTTTCAAAAACAGACAGCAAGTTATTAATTTTTGCCGTTATCAGTGTCTAGCTCGCTGTAATTGAAAAGCTGTGTACTGTATGTGACAGCATTATGTGGTTGCCAGTCTGCTCGCTCTGTGACAGCATTATAAAACCCATCACATTTCTGTGTAATGAAACATGCCACAGCATGCTGCAGGCTATGGGCTCTTCTTGTGTGACATCTACACTATAGGCTCTTTGAGAAGAGCCTCTGTGTGTGTTTAAAGAGTGATAAAGCAGGAGGTTTCTGGTG